AGGCCTCACCCTCTCAATACCTACTGAGATTCACACTTGAATCAATTACACCTTCAGGGCTCACAAAGTGCTAATATTCTAATTCTAACAATTCTTTACACATCTATTAGTTTGCATTCTAGATAGAGAAGAGCTTTTCCTCATCATTTGGAAAAAACTGCAATTCATTCCAAAAGGACAGGATAAAAGTTCAAATACTTGCTAAGTTCTTAATAACTAGATTTCCAATCCAACAATTATTCCATCATTGTTTGTATCACAAGTACAGTGGAGGTGGAGAGTTTAAAAATGAAGGATTTCGTGTTATAGCCACACTGGAATATTAAATAGCTGTTACAAATGATGGAATGCATGAAAAAAATATGGGTGATACATTGTTAAGCAGCAAAGCAAGGAAGCAAGATGTTGGTATATATGTATCCACTCCTGGAAAGAACTCATGAACCTTCCACGTGGCTCCGAGAAGGCCCTGCCTGGGGCAGTTGCCCCTCCAAAGCCCGGCACCCTGCGCAGGACCAGGACCAGGGGCTCACAGTTCCTGGGAGTTACTCCAACTCCCACACGGACGAGGAGGGGAGGCAGGTTGAGAGGACTATCCAGGGAGGGTTTCTTTTTAGAAAGCATCCTTAGAATGCTGCAGAGCGGAGGGAGATCCCCCCCAACCCGGCAAGAGGACTTTCAGGATCGAGTCCCAGGAGCCACAGGTGTGAGAGGTGACCACAGCCAAGTTTGTCACTGTCCCCTGCAAGGAGCTGGCCTGTGGGGCTGTGGGGCGGGGTGGGGGTGGGGGTGGGGGGAGGCAGCCCTTCTCACTGCAAAGGACACGGGAGCCTGGGCCAGGACCTCTGAGGATGGCCCAGCCTCCTCCGGCCAGAGAGCACCCACGGCGGGGCTGTTCAGCAGGTCCCACGGCCAGCCTGCCCTCTCCACCCCGCTGCCGCCACCAGCCCTGAGACCACCCAAGTGCAGGGAGACCTCGTAAGTGAGGGAGACTCTGTCGCGGGAAGGTCGGAGCTGGGCGCTGCCTACCGCCGGCTAGGGAACAGGTGCTCAGGTGGCAGCCAGCATCAGGTCGCGAGTCCCCAGGACAGCACGCCCGTATCTGGCCAGGCCACCCGTGGACGCTCGTGGCTCCACGCCGGCAGTGAGCAGAGAACCCAAACGGTGGCTCTCCCAGCACCTCCTCAGGTTAAAGAAGTGGGTGAGCAGCCATGCTTGCTCGCGAAGGGCTGGCACTTGGCGAGCCCTGCATGGGCCACGGAGCCAACCGGGGTGGCGCCTCCGCGCTTGCCCTCCTCGACCGGCTGCCGCACAGTGACAGGCGGAAGCCGCGAGGGCCCCTCCTGCCGTCGCCGTCCCGGGGCCAAAGCCTGTCTCCACTCGCCTCTCTCAGCTTCAGCTCAGCTCCTGGAAACGTGTAAATTGGAGTCTAGCAAGGGTTCCGGCACAGCCCAGCACCTGACAGTCTCCCCACGGACTTCATCCCGGGATTCTGGCCGCAGTCACGGGGGCAGAAGCAGCAGGAGGCAGAGCTCACCGCCTGCGGGGACCGCGGCTGAGGGGTGTCCGACCGCCAGCTCAGATGACCGAGGTGCTGTCCCGCTAGCCCGCGGGGAGGCGTCTGTGCCTGCGTGCAGGGGTGCTCAGTGACTAGGGCAGCTCTGGCCGCCATCCTGCAGGCCCCCTGGGCCCCCACAGCATCTGCTTGTGGAGGACTTAAACTTGAGCTTTTGGTTGGAGGCAGTTCTTCATCATGTTTGCTCTTTAACGTAGAGGGAGGTACACAGTCAGCTGCTCCTGGCCTGACGCCTCAGCTTTCTTTTCTCACTCCCCTGTCCTGCATCCTACTTCCCCACACTCCGTCAGGAGCAAGGTGACTGCTGAGGTCTCCCGAGGCCAGTCCTCAAGCCTTCTCCAAAGCAGGCCACTGTAACTGACCCCACCCCTGTCACTGCTGCTTCCTGGCACATACTTTTCATGGGGAGTGGCCAAGTTGTCAGGCCCCCCCAGGGTCTCCTAAGCTGTCCCCCCACTGGGCTGTCTCTCTCTGTGAGTTGATGTTTGAAGGGGTCTGGATTTCTCTCCAGTAGAAACTGGGCAGTCGGAGCATGGTCACTGCCCGTGGTGCACCAGGAACCTCGCGTGGAGTGGGCAGTATCTGTATGCGGCGTGGTCAAAGCCTCACCTGAAACACAAGCCCAGCACTTGCTGTAAGTGCTCACAAGAACCATTGCTGTCCACACAGAGATGTTTCCATCACATGTGATGCCTGAGGAAGAGCTGGTACTCAGACACATGCCTTTGGCTCCGTGTGCAGTGCTTTCACCCTAAAATATCTAACACGGAAGACTGAGAGGTGGAGCATATCCATCCAGGTGTGCGAGCTCAGGATCAGTAACAGGTCTTCTGGGGCCAGAGGGGGCCACGGGGCAGTAGCGCCTTCTAGATAACAAATAAGAAGTGGGCCCAGTCCTGGTCCTGCCCTGGTACTGTGGCCTCACCACGGAGGACAAAGGTTGGGGCAGTGGGATGAAGCCCAGGAATTGTAAAAGCTCTTTCCTAGATACAGGGTAACAAGGAAGTAGGGAGATTCATTTGCATTTTCTTGAAAATTGATGTTTGTGTTATGTGATTATAAGAAAATAAGTCCAGAACTCAAAACAACACATGTTCCATCCTCAGTGAGAGTTATGACTCACCTGCGGACAATTTGGAGAGAAAATCGGTTCTTTGGATACATGGGGAGTGCTTTCCCTTTAATTAGAGTAGATTCCTCTGATTGTGAGACACCCTCTGGCGAGGTGACCCCCATACCCTCTGAGCCACAGCCCCTCCCTCAGTGCCCATATTTCCAGGGTATCAATTGAAGCGTGTTCTAACCTCAGCCTTTCCTGGACTCTGTTCCAGTGTCCAATGAATATTTTCCTGAACGTGCTGTGAAATTTGAAAAATGTCTGCTGGCCGCATCGTATGGAGGTCCTTAGTCTACAGCATTGACTTCAGGACACCAAACTATCTTTCAAAGAAGCACCTAGGGGGCCACCACCAGCTCCTGTATTTTCTTTGAGCCTCGCCCTGGTCTAGGCCACCGGTGGGTCCTGTCCCACTGGGCGGCAGAACATGGACACAGGTGCCTTGGTGCACAGAGCCCTTTCCACAGGGGAGCATCACCTTCCCCCAGCTTCTCACCTTCTGCAGGCTTAGCTGGGTTCCCTGCTTGGCCTGGTTACCTAACACAGCACATGCTTTCTACCCGCAGAGTTTTACTGACATCTCTTGGTGCTGCCCCTTCAAATGTCTTGACTGTCATTTTGGAATTTGGGCAGCAGAAGAGAGAAGCTCATACACTCCTGACTGGCTGTCCTCTGTGCTCAGACTCAGCCCACACGCAGATGCCTCCTCCCCATTCCGGGCCCTGCAGGTGGCTCCTCCTGCGGGACTGCACATGAAGCTCAGTTAATGGCAAGGTCCCCGTCCTCTGCGGCTTCTGCATGTGTTCAGTAAGCGAGCAAATAAAGGGAAGGGGTGCAGTCAGAGGCCTCTGGGCACCGGAGCCACACCCTCCCATGGCGTGAGGAGTCCGGAGGTGAGCACACAGCTTTAACGCCTATTGAGGTTTCATCATCAGAGCAGAGATTCAGCCTTTTTTGGTGACAGCGGTTGACCCTTAATCAACAACCAGCTGTCAGAAAGCGCTACCTTATCACTCACCCACTCATGCTGCAGTCAGAGGGCTCAGGGCCTCCATGAGACCCCCACTGCTCACTGCCTGGCTATTCAGCCTCGGGACATACCTGGTTTCCAGTGACGCATTTGAACCTGATGACTTGTTCTGAATATTTTCCTTAAAAAGAAACATTTCCTCTAAAAATGTCAGAACAGTATTATAGTATGTATTTATGTACTTATTTTGTCATTGGTGTGTACTTCAAATTTTAGAATGAAAAAATTTTCATTTATATTTTTAAAACCTTTAGAAAGCATTTTCATCAGCAAAACTTGGTTTATAACCAACCTTTCAGAGGCATCTATTTTTTTAAAGTAAAACATCCCTGTGTTCAAAACAAAAATGTGTGTTCCCCTAGTGTTTCCCTAGTGTTCCCCTAGTGTTTCCATACAGTGTCTGTACAGGTCTGTGTGTGTTCCCCTAGTGTTTCCGTACAGTGTCTGTACAGGTCTGAACACCATGACAAAGAAGCAGTGTCGTCTGTTTTCACCTAGGCAGCCACATTGCTCCTCCAATATTGTAGTCAAATAGAATAAAAAACTGTGGAGGTCACAAAATAGAGTAGAAGACCTGGTACTGTAGTTAAAAGCCCAAGGTTCAAATGTGGGTTTGATCACAATGTGTGACACGAAGAAGTCTCTGAACTATTTGTCCCTGTGCTTTTCATCTGTGACATGATTTACGCAGTATTTGTATGACTTGCCTTTGTTGGGTAGTTACTGAGACCAAACAACATATCAGAAAAAATGTTTTAAGCTGTAACATTGTACAAATTATTTGATAACTCTGTGAAGGTAACTTAAGATTTTATCACTAATATGTCATCCTGACTGTAAAAAGCAATTAAACCTTATCAAATATTTAGTTTTGCAAATTATCCTAAAAGCACAAGTACACATTCATTCAAGGGACCCTAAGCCTTGAAAACTTACACAAATGCTGAGGAGCCCCCATTTTGTCCCCCTGGGGGTGCACATCCTCAGGAAAAAGCAGTGATTCCACTAAAATTCAGGAGTGTACTGTGCACGTTGGATACACAGTAGTTCCTACCACAGACCTGGTGGTGTCTTCAAAGCTGATTAAAATTAGGATATTCTCAGTAATATTGTTGGTGCACATTTATTTCACAGAAAATCAATTTGCAAGGTAAGCACCTAATTAATGGGCTTTCTGTTTGCAAAGCTGTGAGCAGAATGGGTCCCATCAGCCTGGGTGTGACTGGGTTGTGCCCCCGGTGGGTGCACCATGCCGACTGCTCTCTCTCTCCTCCTAGCCTGCCCTGGAGTCTGGGACAACATCACATGCTGGCCCCCAGCAGACGTAGGCGAGACTGTCACAGTGCCCTGTCCAAAAGTGTTCAGCAATTTCTACAGCAAACCAGGTACTGTCTGTGTTGTTTCCGAGGGTGTATGTCTGTCAGAAAGGGTCGACTTCTCCGTGAAGGCAGCAGGCACCCGGAGCACCCGTTCACTTTGCTGAGCGAGTCAGGGAACAGCTGCCCTGTCACGCACAGAGCTGGTTTCAGGAGCAGGATGAAAAGCTTCCTGCTGAGCCATTCACCTCAAATCAAATGCAGGGGAGAGCAGGCCTCAGGGAGAGGCTGGGCCGGGCAGGTCCACTGTGCGCCAGAAGCAGACAAAGGGGAGCCAAGAGCCAGGTGCCACAGGAGCTGAGCAGACCTTCCCTGGCGTCTTGCCTCTTCAGGGCCCACAAGCCCTCAGCACTCCCCAGAGGCCCTGAGGCTGCCTGACGCATGGGCACAGCTTCACGCCCAGGAAGCCTTGTGGGTCTCTGGTCTGGCTCCCCGCCTCTGACCTCCCACCTGCTGCCCCAGCCCCTGGCCTTGGGGGCCTGCAGGCTGAGTCCCCAGAGCACCATGGGTGCTGGCCAGTAGGCAGGGCCTCCTCCTGTGGCTTGTGCTCTGCTACACAAGGCCCTGCTTGCTCCAGAGAAGGCAGTTTTGTTTCATTGTGGTGTGTTGTAAACAGTCTTGATTTCCATAACATGACTAAATCTGCCCTTGAAAGTGGAAAAGAAGACCCATCTGGAACTTGGTTTATAACCAACCTTTCAGAGGCATCTATTTTTTTAAAGTAAAACATCCCTGTGTTTAAAACAAAAATGTGTTGTGTTCCCCTAGTGTTTCCCTAGTGTTCCCCTAGTGTTTCCATACAGTGTCTGTACAGGTCTGTGTGTGTTCCCCTAGTGTTTCCGTACAGTGTCTGTACAGGTCTGAACACCATGACAAAGAAGCAGTGTCGTCTGTTTTCACCTCGGCAGCCACATTGCTCCTCCAATATTGCAGTCAAATAGAATAAAAAACTGTGGAGGTCACTGCAGCTCTGCTAAACTCTGCCCCAGCCTGTCTGTATACTTACTCAGTTGTAGCCTGCATTGTTGATCTTTCCTGCACACTTGGTGCAGAAGGCTCACATTCAGAGGGCAGGTGCCACAGGGGAGCCTGGAGAACTGGAGTTGTGGGCGTGCCTCCGACGACCGCGGGATAGATCTGGATGGAAGAAAAGTGATTCAGGAAAGAAAGATTTCTTTCATACCTGCGACTTGCAAAGTAAGAACCGTCCTGAGTGAGTGAGTCAGCCAAGCGCCCACCACCACCATCTCTGTCAGGAAGACTAGTAAAAAGTGTCCCCCCACCCAGTTAATGATACTTCCACTGAATGGTTCAGGCTGTCAGTATTCTGGAAATCCTGAAGGAATTGGCACAGACTTTGTATGGATGGTTCGATTCCCAAGGCTTCCAGAGAGCAGCCTGGGGTTTGCACGCAGGCAGACACGAGCACTCCCATTCCTGGGCATCTGCTGCTTCCAGCCCAGCCCTTGCCAGACGCAGCTCCCAGGACAAGCTAGAGTCTGGTTCAACTCTGAATCACTATGCAGCCTCTCCTCTGGAGAATAAAAACTCCAGTCTGTTTCAGGTTAAGTGCTCCGTGCTCTCTGTCTAGAACCGTCTTGCAGCCATGGGGAACATCTCCACCGCAAGAAAGTCGGCCAGAGTTCCTGCATCTGGATGCCACAGCTAGTTATCTGAAATGTATATGCCTCCATGTTTATAACTGGGCACAAAAACATGAACAACGAGACAACTTACACAGCTGCTGACAATGTGCCATCCACATGGGTGTGTAAGAGTCCCAGAGCTCACAGAAGCAGAGACATAATCTGCAGCTGGGGGCCGAGGAGGGCTGGATGGGGGCCCATGGCATGGACAACAGCGGGCTGAGGCCCCAAAGATGAACCTCAGCAGGGGTAAGTGGGAGGTCTTGACACAAAATTAAGAACCAGTGGTGCTTGAATCTGTATGGCACCTTTCAGTTATAGAAAGCTTTCAAAAAGCTGAAAGTGGCTTCTTGTCATGGCCTGAGAAATGGATCTGTGTATTTTCTGGGAAGTAATTTTCTTTCTGAAGTTCTCATCCCACCAGCAGGTAGGAAACTGGGGGGCTCTCCAGGTAGCCAGGTGTGCTGTCACGGCAGCCAGCACCTTGCTGTGAGCTCTCCTCCTGCGGGGTGAACCCAGGGTCATGCAGGCCCCTCTGCGTCATCTGTAGGGGTGGAAGGGAGGCAGGGAGCAGTGTGTGCTCCATGGAGGAGCCTTTAAAAGGGAGGCTGGAAACAACCAAGCAGGAGGACGTGGCTTTGAGGACATGGGAGATTTACCCTGGGGAACTGGAACCTTAGGACACTGCACTCCAAGTATGGGGGCCCTCCACATCGGGGAGAGGGCCAACATGCTGCAGGAAGCCAGGACAGCTCGACAACAAAAGGGTCAGGAGCAGTGCCCGTGACAGCAGCCCAGCTGTGGCCCCAGGGACACCAGAATCACCTGATTACAATAGGAGCTTCCCGACAGCTGCAGGCCATGCCCAGTGCATCATCTGAGGTGCAGGCTAAGGACCTCAAGCTGCTGTTCTTGGAGAGTGGTGACTCCCCAACAGAGCCCGGGAGGCCACGGGGCATGCCTGCCCCCAGCCCAGGTGAGCCCAGCTGGAGGCTCCAAGACGTCACACTGAATGGGCAAAGGATGGGGCTTGTAAGCACCTGGGGAGCAGGCACCTCAGGCACCTGTCACCCCATGCTGAGGACACCCGGGCACCACTGCTGACCTTAGGGCCACAGCTCTGGAAGGTCAGAAAACAGTGGGGGGTCTCCACAAAGTTGGGGAAGGACCTGCAGAGTAGATAGGCCCCCAGGTAACGAAGGCCCCATGGAGTCAGGGTTGGGGAGAGACTCACTCAGTGGGTAGAGAGGGGGCCCACTCTCCTGAATCCTAAAGCTGTGGCCTCCCCCACATCCTCCCAGACCCCCCAGCTCCCAGAGGCCCTCCCACCTCCCTGACCTGTTCCCACTGCCCTGGCCCTCTCCTTTGCTGCCTCACACATTTCTAGGAAGCTCACCTCCTCCTCTGCCTTCAGGAACATCCAGGGGTGTGAAGCCAGATGGGATGAAGAACTGGGGAAGCTGGACTTGATAGGATGAAGCCCATTGAAGTGTCTTCTTCAGACTAGTGTTTGGATGTATTCATGAGGTCTGCCTGCCCAGCACCCGCTCCAGCCGGTCCACAGAGCTCAGGGTTCAGGCAGATGAGGAGCCCACTGCCAGGAACTGAGATGGGCTCTCGCTCATCAGCTGTGTGACGCGGGCAAGAGGCCCAACTTCTCCCAGCCTCGGGTTTTTTGTCCATAAAGTGAGGTCACCTGCAGGGCCAGGACTCCATGAGTGGTGCAAATAGGGAGCGCCCCTGCCAGACACGGGGCTTGGGGGCCCTGGGCACTGCTGAGACCACTTCACCCCACTTCCTGTCCCAAAGGCGCGCTTTTCAAGCCAGGATGTGCTCGTGTGGCCGACCTCTCCACAGGAGCGGGCTTTGTTCTGGGTTTTGCCTGATGACTCCATGATCAAGTGAACAGGCAGCCTGCGTGATGCAGAGGAAATAGGGATTTCTGAGTCGAAAAACCTGTCCTACTGCTCGGCCGATACAGACATGGGCATCACTGAGCCCCAGAGCTTGTTTCCCCGCCTGCACAACAAGGAGAGTAATGCTACACAAGAGACCATGTTGTGTGCACACATGCCGTTCCGCAAGCCCTGGGCTTATGGGGCAGGGATGCTAACCACAGGGAGCTTCTCCCTGGTCTGAGAACCCCAAGCCCACCCCAGATGTGGCCCAGGCCCCCAGACCCACGTGTATTTCACCCATGACCACCCGGCCCTCTACGTGGTCACCGTCCTGCCATGCTCAGGTAAGTAGGGGAACATCTGTTCTTCGGCTTCACAAAGGGCTTGGATTAGTTAGGGGCAACTTTTGATGGTAAGACCAGAACTGACTTTATTGCATGCAGCTCACATCTAACCTCCACAATGTTCTCCCACAGCACTAGTGACCCCGTAGTGCCTGCCCCATGTGCTCTAAGGCTACTGGCTCTGAGGCCCCCCGCCCGGTCCCAGCCCCTTACACTTTACCACAGAGCAAACGGTCCAACTTTTCTTCTAGGAAACATAAGCAAGAACTGCACAAGTGACGGGTGGTCGGAGATGTTTCCAGATTTCATAGATGCGTGTGGCTTCCACGACCCTGAAGATGAGAGCAAGGTAAGGGCTGGCACGCCACCCGAACTTCCTGCCTGTGGGCTGAGCGGCCCTGCGGGGGTTATGCGGGCTCGCCTCTTGAGGCTAGGGCTATTGTTCAGTGGCCAGAAAGGCCACGCCTGTTTCAGGTCTGCTGCCTGGCCTCTGGGAGTTTCTGATGGTTCCATGGTTTTGGAGGCAGGAAAGGCTTTCTCCTCACCTGCTGTCCAGGGCTCTCCTGCTGAAGTGAGCTTTAATGAGCACCCATCCTGCCGGGGTGTTTCTCCATCCCTGGTAGGGTTTTGCCACAAGACTGGCTGTCAAGAAGCTGCATGGTAGTTTCCTTGGTCCTGAGGCGGCAGCGAGAGATGGGACCAGCTGGAGCGTCTTTGCAAACCTGGAAGTGGAGTGTGTCTGGCTGGGGGTACCCAGGCCCAGGCTGGCTGCCAGTGACTCATCGCAGGCCACGCTGGGGACTTGGCCTGCACTGGCATGGCTGCTCAAGGGCCCTGTCTGCTGGTGCAGTTTAAGGAGGCCGTGGAGGGTGTGCTGGTGAGCCATTTGTCCAAGAGCCCAGTCATTTAAATGATGCATCCACTGCAGCTCTGCTAAACTCTGCCCCAGCCTGTCTGTATACTTACTCAGCTGTAGCCTGCATTGTTGATCTTCCCTGCACACTTACCCCAATAACTGTGGTTTTATTATGTTTCCACCAGCAAACCAGAACACTGCCTCCCCTTGAGCTGCATTTGTTTACCCCACAGTGCTGTGTGGAACACGGGCACCTCATACACCTGAGGATGGAGTGCATTACAAACACGTGTTCCCCAAGTGTACATTGTGTGGGATGTACATGAGGCCCTTTAAAGAGCCTCAGGGAATCCTAGCTACCCACCCACCCTGGGTCCCACCGCCTCTGGATCCGACCGTCCCTGGGTCCCTCGGTCCCTGGGTCCCTCTGTCCTGCCACCTAATGAGACCATCAGTGATGCTGACGTGGGACCAGTTCTCCCCAGGCCTGACCCACCGTCCCGTGCTCCTGCTCTCCAAAGGGCTGACCTTGCTCTCCTCACTAAGGGTTATCATTTAAAGTCAGTTCTTTTCCCACCAAGTTATTAAACTGCAGAAAAGGAAGTACCATACATTTTAGCCAATATCCTAATTGGAAGCTAAGACCCCTGACCTCTGGCCAAGAATCAGTGAAGATGATGGTGGTGGTGTGGCCTACATTGCTGATCAGTTACCGATATTATAGATTAATTACCCATGTCATCTCAAGTGGTCTTGTTCTGTTGCGGTCTGATTGCCAGCATTGCATATATGTAAGGAACACAGTGTGATGTTTTTACACATATACACTTAACACTGTGAAAAGACTCCCTCAATCAAACTAATTATCAGTCATCTCATATTCATCAAATACACTCACCTTTTTCTGGTGAGACATAGAACTTAGCTTATACCTGAAAGCATGTACTTTGACCAATGTCACATATTTCCCCACCCCCCATCTCATTTAATCTTAGTGACAACCCACTTTACAGACAGAAACTAAGATTTAGAGAAATGGCGTGACCGGTCAGAGGCCCCAGGCTGGTGAACAGAGCTGTGGCTGGGCCTCCTCTGACCCCTCGCTCCCCCCACTGTAGTCGTGGCAGTGATGGGTGTGGGACATAGCTGGGCAGGTGGCCAGGCCCGGGGTCCATGCGGATACCTCCCAGGAAATACGGAGCTGCCACCCTGACAGTCCTTCCAGGCAGTTGGGACAGAGCCAGGCTGATCGCTGGGACCTGGGCCTGGGCACACAGCGCACACCAGGCTGCTGTGTCTAGAGTCCGTTGAGCAAGGTTTGGGTGGTAGGACAGTTCCAACGCTCCAGATGGGGGCGTCTGGTCAGACTCTGGGCTGTGGGAGGTGAGTCCTCAGACCTCATCAGACACGCAGTTCTGCTGGCAGACTCCTAGGAAAGGGAATTTCTTTTTAAGCCTTGCAGTGTGGGTATCACAGGATCCAAACCTCCTTTGCTCACTGCTGTTTCTGTTATGCATAATCATGCAAACCAGTTTTTCTGGGTTGAATGTGTCAACCTTCTCACCTTACACTAAGTCGTCTTTGTCGCAAGCAGAGGCTGTGGGTGGCACCTGCGGCCTATATGCACCTGGGCCTCCGGAATTTATAGGAACAGCGTGGGACTTTGTGCAGCTAGAGTCCACTCCACACGTCCCAAAAGACACCAGCTGTGGTTCACCACCCTTGGCCAAGCTTTGAACCAGAGGAACTTAGATCAGCAGAAGAGCTCCTAGCACTTCACTGAAACGTGACACATTTAGGACTGAAGGCAGTGGAAACCCCCTACCAACCACTCCTCCTCCCCACCCGTTCTCCAGCCTCCTGACCCTTCCCACTGTGACTCCCTTCTCCCCACAGCGGTCTCATCTGGCTCCAGTGGAACATAACCCGAGGGGTTTGACACACCCCTCGGGCTGTCCTGTGCTCTGGGTTGGAGCTTGGCCCATGGGCGTTCTGTATTTACTGCACCCCGCAGGTAAGGCCCCACCCGGAGGGGAGGCTGCTGAGTCTCCTTTGGGCAATAAATGCCGGTGTTGGACAGCCCTCAACAGTGGGACCTACAGCTCGCAGACATACATTTAACTTCCCTAACCCATCCCAGCTACAAGGTGGGGGATAAATTCCCCCGCTTCATGTTGTTGCTGTAAACCCAGTGCACAGCCCAAAATCAGAGACCTATTCAGCCAGTCTGAATTCAGAACATGTTTCGTTGGAAGATACGAGAGTGTTCCAAGCCCCAGGCTGGCCCCAAACTGTGGGTGAGCTCTTTAATATGGCTTTGTAAGAATAAGACTCTTAACTATATAGAACCAGCCCCAGATATACTTCTGAGGCTTCAGGACACGGGTATGGGGTGGAAAGTACAGCGTGCTGAGGCCTCACCAGCAGCGTTTACCTGGAGATGGGCTCTGGTCCCCAAGAGGGGCAGGCCAATTCATCCCAAGATGACCATGCCTTGGAGGTCCCACTGCTCTGACTGACCTTGGGTTACAAAGGCCCAGTGGGGTCTGACAGGGCCGCGATGGATGTGGGAGGGGCACCTAGGGCCAGCGGCCAACACGTCAGTGCTGACACACTTTGGGAGTCACACCCGACTGCTTCTCCTTCTCCCTGGATTCCCCTGGTCATGCTGTAGGGGACCTTCCAGGAGACCTGGAGACCCTAATGGGCCCACTTGGTGCTTGGAAAGGCCTGTGACCAAATCCAGCCTGCGGGAGGCACAGTGTGTCAGTAATTTTCTGATGTTTTTTGTCCAGTTTGAGGCTTGTTCTTCTTAATTAAACATTTCAGAGATTCTGCAGAGATCAGGATAGCATATTCCCTGCTAACAGATTAGAAAGTCAAAGTATTTGCATGTGTGAAAGCTTGGAAAGTGATGACCCAGAACCAAATCGGGAGGCTCCCCTCCCTGGCTGCAGCTTCTGCTGTCTGAATATTTGAACACTTGTTCACTCAGGAATCAGTTTGAAGACAAAGACCCCCTGCCGGCTGTCCCTGCACCCTTGGCTGAGGGGAGGGATGCAGCCTGGTGAAGATGGGGCTCCCCACTTCCTCTCAGTACCATCTCGTTGGCGCTCACTCTTCCCAGTTTTGCTGAGAGTTTTTGACTGGATTTCCTGCTCTCACGTGGCCAGGCTTGCCTGGGTGTTGTGTGTGATCTTTGTTTCAGTTAATTAAATTCAATAAAAAAATCAGCCTCCACTAAAGCCGCAGGCTTGCTGCATCGGGTGAGGAAACTGAAGATGCAGTCGAGTGAGGAGGGGGAGTGGCTGAAGGAGACCCGAGGGCCTCCCAGCCAGGGGGGAGCTGATGCCTAAAGCTGCTTCTCCCCGCAGGAGGCCGGGGAGTCATAAGGGTTGGGGCGGCGCCTGGCCCTTGATTCTCTGAGTCTTACAAGTCACAGTGAAGCCCTGAAGCCCGCCGGGCTGGCCTCAGGACCCTGTCACCACACCCGGCTTCCCAGTCCTGTCCCTCTGGCCAAACCCACCTGCAGGTGTGTGTGCCCTGGCTGAGGAGCACTGCATCTTAGGCCTTTTACCTTTTAATCACTGCATAAAGGGTTAATCCCATTATGAGGATTTAAGGGCCCCTCCTCCCCCAGGCCCGGGAGGCCCCACAGCCACCCTTGCTCCTCTGCCCCCAGGTCCCAGCCTGCTGAGGCTGCAGGGAAGGCAGGCCAGATGGAGACCACGAGACCCTCTCAGCTGCCTCCACCCCTACATGGGAGCGTGGGGGTGCCCTACACCGAAGAGGTTGCCCTGGCATCATGTTCTCAGCCTCAGCAGGACAGCCCAGTACTGGTCCTTCCCCCTACCAGCTGATCCCCAGACCTGGGGCTCCCCGGACAGAGCTCCCCGCCACAGCCCATCAGGTGGACCCTGTTCACCTGATATTTTTCTGCATCAAAGGCTGTCTCGAGGCTCCAGGTGAGGGCAGTGTGTTGGCCGGGCTCCCTGCCCTAGTCCCCACCTGCTGCCCAGTGTCCCCACCTGTCTGGTTTCCCAGGGATGCTGGGAGTGGGTGAAACATGAAAATGCCTAGAAATTTAGCTGCCAGGATGAGTTCTGTGGGACCTGGTGGTGTGCTTTTCCTGAGCACCAGGAGTCTTCCAGAAGAGTCTGCAAGGGCCTCGGGCTGAGCCCGCCCTCTCGGGGGCATCTCAGTCACCCCACACTACTCTGCAGCTTAGGCTGCTCCCCAGCCTGTCCCACCGATGGCCAGCTGCCCCAACACACTGGTGTCCCAGTGGACACGCAAGGCTGTGCACCCCACCTGTCCTGCGTCATCGGTTTGCTACCATGGCTCTTAAGTAACAGCACTTCTGCTAAATTTAGCCCAAGCTGTTGGCGCCTAGCCTTCCATGGGTCAAGTGGACACATTTCTTCCGTATTATGCCATATCCCTAAAAATATCTGTCCCTCCTCTCACCTTCAGATGCTGTAGTAGCTCTCTCC